GGGAGTTAAAGCACAGAGAAGCACTTCTGATGCAGTATCCGGACACTTTCAGTGGATTTCAAATCTAAACTACTTACAATTTTTTTTAGGTTTGTTCACACCAGCATTGTTTCTGACCGCTAAATCACCATCTACACAAACAAGTCAAAAGTTATTGGCATTCGACTGTCATTACCGGCTATGTTGAAGTCCAAAAAGGCAGAATTCTGTATAATCAGTTAGGGCTGAGCAATATGAAGCTAAGTAGACAGTATATATATATAGATGAGCATGTAGTTTGGAATTGGAAAAAATGTAAAAACATCTTAATTCTTTTGCAAAAGGACACAATAATTTATTCACCAGGACAAATTCTGACTGTGGTAATCTGGTTTTCTGAGGGAACGCTTGGTTGATGTTGCTAACAGAGCTTTAGCAACTCACCCCGGACACATTCTTCAAAAAAACAATGCGAAATCAAAAAAAAAAAAAGAAAAAAGGAGGGGATCTTCCCCCGACAATAACACAAAGTTAAACAAGACAGGAAAAGACAGGTGCTTGATACAGTCCCAGTATGAACTGAAGTGCTCTTCTAACTTACAGAAATACAGTACTCGTACGTCTTTTACGACCATCTGGTTCTGAAGTTTAGATCCTGTTCAAGTTTGTCTTGGTCAGTTAAAGGGTGGACCAGTACGAGGAAGGGGTGGCGTGAGGAAAATACAAAAGGTGCTTTAAGAAAAAAATTAAGTTAAATTAAACAAGTGTTTTCTTCTTTCCGACAACATTCACTCAAGCACACACAGACACATGTTAAATGTCTAATTAGCCTATCTCTAACTTCACGAAAACACCATGTCAAAATAAAGTCTATTTTTTTCAGAGCTTAAATTCTTGTCATTTAAAGATGAGTCATGGTCCATGCCACGTAGTGCGTGCAGCAGCAGCAGCAGCAGCAGCTAGGCCTATGAAACACAATTTAACCTCAAAGACGGGTATACTAACATTTGTACAAACTATAGGTTTTTAATTGAATGAAATCCAATTTATTGGGGATTGAGGTACACAGCTATGGTTAATGCATCCAGTGGTTGGTCGTATGAAAATGCAAAAAATGGTGAAAAGTCATGCGATTTATGTTTGAATGCACCCGACAAGTGAAATGTCTCTTTAAAAACATCCCATTTAACATCAGACTAAGATTCAATTTGGCTCCAAGTACATAAATGAATGGGATCCAACTCCAAACTGCTCCAGCCAACATTTTTCATTTTGTAAAAATAAAAAAAGAAAAGATGGCGCTGTTGTGCACTATGACTGGAGGAACCGAGATGTTGCTAGATGGCTAACTTTGACTGACAGACGGACCAGTAGGGAAAACTCTGAAGGACTGAAGAGGACATGAACATTCAAAAACAGAATAATTAAGAAATATAACCCAGTGAGAGGCAGATCTGTGTAAGGGACACTGCTGTTAGCTTTCATCCTCAGCGCTCACTCCAAATGGGAAAACATTTATCTCGGTTAAGCCTAACAACAGTGGCTTACACTACAAAAAAAAAAAAAAAAAAAAACGCATCTATTTTAAGTCTAGAAGCCTGAACTGAGTCTATTACCACTAAAGAATAAGAACATTTAACTCTCAGCCATTCAGCAGTTTCGTTCTCTGCACATCCAAAAATCTGTCCTCTCTGCATGTCATCATCCCTGCAGTTACTCTTCTACATCAACACTCAGCAGACAGGCAGCCAGACTTACATCAATCTCCATTTACAGTTTTACCTTTTTTTTTTTGTTATAGACACTTCCCCCTCCACAACTACCCCCTCCAAACCTCCTTGCCGTGTCTGCGCTAGTCTGACTTGTCCCCATCCTCTCCTCGGGGCGCTCTCTCGGCGGCTTCCCGGGCCTTGTCCTCCTTCACCGCCTGGGCCTGGCCGTGGGAGTAGTTGGCCAGGATGGAGGAGAGGGAGAGCAGGCCGGAGCTGGAGGAGACGGCGGGCAGGGAGGGCGGGGTGAGGCCCAGGGGCAGCGAGCTCACGGGCAGGGCCAGGCCCTGGAGCTGGGACAGGTGCTGCACCTGGAGCTGTTGCTGGAAACACACACATGGCACAGAAAGATCCGTTAGTGCTTCTTCTTTGGCAGAGAATGAAGTCTCTCTCCCTCTGCGTGTGTCGTTATCCGAGCTTCTCCTTGCTTTGTTTACAAAGCCGGGTCAGCCAAGCGTGCATGTTAGGGCACATTAGTGCATGCGAGCGTGCCTGCTGGCTAACTCAGGGCAGCTGCTCTCTTACGGTGGATTCAGCTAACAATGCTGTCTCGACCGACAGCGTTATTGTAGAAGCGTGACACACACCCTCAGTTTAACGCTGTTGGCTCTGTCGCCATTGTTTGCACTGTTAGCGGTGATCAAAACGCTCCCAATCTTTTATCTTGCACCTTCAACATTCTTTATATCATTCTGTGTGCCTATTGGCTAAAAACATATTGGCTGGAAAATTGATTTGGTTGTATTTCATGTTTGGGATCAGATACAACTCAGCCATCATCTTTACCCACATGGAGAAAAAAAACAACAAAAAAAAAAAACAACAACTCACCCTTATGATGGAGTTCATCTCAGGGGGCGTGACTTGCTTGGCTCTCTCTATGGCGCCCATGACTTGCTGTTGATGCTAAAAACAAGACAAGACAAGACTTGGTCATGCACTTGACATCTAAGTGCATTAACATGACCTGAAATCTTCAGCAAGAGAGAGGACAAGTGACAAGATTGGACATATTTTTTAGAAAATCGAGTCACCTCTGATTTGCTAGTTTATATATGATTAAAAAATACAACCAGAATGTAAAGTAAACAAGATGGTTTGATTGTACAGTTAGCCCCTTAAGCAGTGTGTGCTTGATGAGCAGAACATCTCAGGCACATACAAACATCATTACCTCTTGTGACAGGTAAGGCAGCACCTGAGCACAGATGCCATTCAGTCTCTTCACTATCTCAGCCTGGAAAGAAAACAGAACGATCAGAACGGCAAACTACCAGATCTTGACTACCGACGGGATTCACAACAGGAAACAGTGATTACCTGTTTGTGCATTTCAATGTTCAGCCCGTAGGACATTTCATAGTACTACAAAAACAAAGAAGGAGAAAAAGTTAAACATAGTAAACTGAAGCTTTATACTCTCAGTACATTTGCCATACACAGACTTATATGTAGGTATATTATATGTGTGGATTATGTACTGAAAAATGTAGATGCTTTTGTCATGTGATCTGTAATTGGTCATTGGGCATCATAAAAAGCTTTAAAAGCAGAATCCGTTACTGATCATGAGATGAGTGAACCCGAGGAAGCCACTAAGTGAAACGCAATCTGTGACTAAGTACGACTAAGGGAACATTCTCGGTGTGCTTGTATACCGACACTGCAACACTAAGTGACTTTGGTTGGTATATTACAGGAGATGAAGATTAACAGCCACGTCTCAGTGAGTTAATGCAACACTTACCATGATGTAGTGACGCTGCATCTCTGACTTTTCAGAGGCCAGTTTATCACACTCCAACTTCAAACTGGAAAAAAAACAATATAAATATTAAACAATAAAGATCAGTTTATACTAAGCTAAGATGCTTGCTTGCTGGCTGTAGCTTCATGTTTAGAATATAGACGTATGGGCTCATTTCCCACAATGCCTTAACGATTCGTTTCGATTAGATTACGCGATGCTGAGCCTCCGTGTACCAGTAAATACAATCTAATGAATTATATTTGCTGAATTACAAAAAGCATTTAGGGGTGGGATGCAAGATAATGGGTTTCTTTAAAAGCAGATACCCATAAACAACATGTCCCTACCCATATTGACTACACAAATATGCAGATTTGTCTATATTAAGTTGTTTGACATGCTAACCTGAAAATAGCATCAAGCGTCACACTCACAATATATTCTTAAAGCAACCGAGGCAGACGGAAAATGAACTGAGAGGTATTTCTCACAAGTCAGTTGCCCCAACAATAAAATATGGGAAGATGTTTCAGACTGAAATGATATCAAAACGGAAAATGTTGCACCTTTTACGTGGATGTCCAGTCAGTGTTGATGGTATATGTAGTCCATTGAAGCAAAAGATATCGTCCGTGTGTGTGCTATATTGACCAAGAAACTGGAGTGTACATTTTACAGTGTTTTGGCTGACTCTGGTATTCGGCTGGAGAGAGGCCCCTCCAGAGTCTGAGCTGCTGAGAGCAAACACTGACTTTTCTTAAATTGCCCTCCAATGCAACCACTAACGGAATCATTCTGATGTATTGAATGCCAGCAACAACCCCTAAAGAGGAAGCTGTGTGTTTGTGACGACGCATGAAAGTTGTCCTCCTGATTGGGACAGAGGTGTGCTGGAGACCCCGGGGATAAACTTGAAGACAACCCAGACCAGCAGGTGTGATTTTTGTCATTTGCTAATTTATTGGTCTGCCTTCAAAGAATGATTGAGAGCCACCAAAAAAGCTTCTGCAGTGGGGCAGCTGCTCAGTGGGCAGCCAGCACAGCAGAGAGACACAGTGGGGGAAACCAGTGTGTAGAGTCAGCAAGATGGGTTTGGCGAGTTTTAATTTATGTCTGAATGAAGTGTGTTTTACGGTAAGTCAATGCGGCAATTAGGCCGGTTTGGTGTAAGAGAGAAACTTGAATTCAAGTTGGTGTACGGTCGTATTTTTCTGTTTAGGTTCAAGAATATTCACTTCATTGAAATTTTGAGAGTTTATTTTGTTTATTTATCAGACTAAAAAAAAAAGAAGCTTGTTTAACGGAGCAAACTCAAAAGCAATGCATCCTGGTACATGGAGGCACAGCTCCGCTAGCAGGAGAACTCAGTTTGGTCAATTGGTCCTTGGTCAATAAAGCACTAACTGAGGAATTTACTTCTTCAGTGAACTACATTTACCAGCAGCACTGATGGACATCCACATAAAAAAAGGTGGCAAATGTTCCCTTTAACTGTGTGTATGGATGTGTTAACCGCATACCTGTGGTACTGTGCTTGGAGGAACTGGAACTCATCCTTGATGCGGTCACAGGAGTCAGAAGTAGTGAACTTGAGAGGTTGACTGGACTGAGAGGATGCCTGGACAGCAGAGTAACATACTCAGTTTATTAATTCACAAAGATCCCTGCATCCAGGTCCAGACAGTCAGTCTGAAACCATACTTTGGATGCCTAACAATTCCCAACCAGTCCAGCAATAAAGGAATATAAAAAAAGGAATTTTGAGTGGTTGTGTTGTTTGTTTGGAGACAGCAGTTTGACCTCTGAGATCAACCCTTTGAGAGGATAGCTAAAATGAAGGCCAGCCTAAATGGGGCTTCGTGTCTGAACATGCTGTATAAAATGAGATAAGGAAGGACACCGTTTAATTTGCTGACAAATTGATATGAGACATCTGTCTTTAGAAAAACCACTGGCCCGACCTTTCCAGGACCAAAGAGTGTGTTGATTGAGGGAAATGTGTTTAAAGAAGGCGAGATTAAAGCAAGCCGGTGCTGACCATATGTGAGATTTATTTAGCCGCATAAGAAGTCTGGTTTATGTATAGACTACACTTAAACCATTAATCCAAAACTGTAATCCAGGGTTTATCCAGTTCACTAAACCTCATTACTCTCTAAATAAGTGGCACAAGGACAAGAGGTTTCCAGTGGGATTATGGGGCTGAACAGAGAGTCACCCAGTTACACACAGGTCAAAACCCTGCATCCAAAACACTCAGTGTACTATAGTACTGTATTTAAAAGTATACAAATACAGTGCAGAAACTATTACTATCTTTATATTTTAGATACTAAACAGTTAATTGAGTAATGAAACAAAGTAACGGTCGATAACAAAACATTACCACAGAGCTAGAGGTGAAACGATCAACAGAAAATATTTATTTTACATTAAATTAATTAATTGGGTCATTTATCAAAAAAAAGTAGAACGTTAAATATTCATCTTTTTCCTGCTTCTCAAATAATCACAAATGAATGTTTATGTTATTTATAATTTCAAAAGTGTTTTGAAATGTTACGTTATTTGTAGATGTGTTGGTTTTATTTCCACTATTTTCTCAAGTTTCTTAGACTGTAAGAAAAATCTATTTATCATAAAAGTAACAGAATTATTTTCATTAACGACAAATGTGTCTGTCACAGCTCTCCAGAAATAGATGGTTGGAGAGGAACAACTGTATTACAGTGGTTCAGCTTCCTACCTATAAAATAGTTTAAAACTGGCCCTTATTGCTTGCCATAAATTGATATCATTGTAAACTGGATGGATATGTTGTGATTTGTCCTGCTGGTCATACAAAAGAAGGCATTTTAAGAAAACTGTGAAAAGGCATTTTTCACTATTTTCTGATACTTGTTAATGTTTGTTTGTTTCAGCCCTAATCGTTTCACTTCTGTACATGTTTAATACTGATTAGCATGCTAACTGCTATAACTTGATCCACAATAGTTTAGCGTTTCCAGTGGTGCTTTAGTTGAGACTTTTTCAGAAGTCTAATTATGTGTGAACCTTTTTCCTGACTTGGCGTTAGTTGATTCCTTCTTGTTTTTAGTTTAGTCATGAACCGTTTCTTTATCTAATGTATATTGAATAAATTAAAAGAGCAGTTATTGTCCAATATGTCTTTAAATTCACCCGTTACAAGGCTGTTTAGCTCTTTTAGCCTTCTAACTTTAGCTCTTTTTACAGCTGTCAAATGAAAATGGAAACTTGCAACCGTTGTGATACTAAATCATTTAAGAGATACAACCTTTTCTTTAAAAAGCAACAGTTGTATATAAGTTAACTAACTACATCTGCCGTCCCCTCGTATCTAAGCTACTCTGTCTATTGACAGTAGACACACTAAATCAAGCTAGCCAACGCACACTATCATGCTAACTTGCTCTCACAGACTGAGGCTAACACATGAACTTAAACTAGCTGTTTTGACTAACGGCTAAGCTAAAGGCAGACTGTGTTCGCATCCAACTACAGAAAATAAAGCTGGTATTTAAGTGACATACATTTTAACTCTCAAGCTGCTTTCTACCCTCCAACATAAAAGGTGAATACGTCGTGAGGATATGTAGAGATGCATTGTGAGCTGACAGCTACCTGCAGCTAGTATCAGCTGTCGGCTGCTAGCTAGCCGTTAGCTCGGCTCGCTTTAGTTAGTTGCTTTAGTTTCCTACTGAGAGAAGTTCCACTAGCCAACTTACCGAGTGCCTTGATTGAGGAAACATCATGTCAGCAGTGTGTTTCGCTGTGTTCCCCTTTTGGTTTAATCGAATTACCGGGCTAGATGGCTAAGCTAACAGGTCCCCAGATATTATTAAATGATTGGAGACGCTCTTCGCACTTTGTACTCTGTCATCGTTTAAAATAACGTTAGCTAACACGAAAGCAGCAGGAGCCGAAGATCGTCTTCTGGTCTTCGCGGTGAGGAGAACCACCGCCTCCGAGGATGAGTCGGCTAACAAAAAAATAAAAAGCTCTTCAAAGGAACATCAGGGTTCTTTTTTTTTTTTTTTTTTTTTTTTTTTTTTTGGAATAACGTTAACGTTACACCTCCCCGGGGAAACCCTGGATGTTGACACATGAGCCGCTGACTTTCCTCTGCTTTGAAGAGAAGAGCGGTACCAACCGGAAAACAAACCGAGCAGCGGAGCCGCGGGCGCCCCTAGTGTCAGAGGGCGGAACTGACCCGCTCATCTCAATAGGAGCACAGCTTCTGCATCCACTGAGCATACATTGATTTCAGTAATTTAATCAATTGCACATTCGTTTGGGGGTGGAAGGAGTTCTAATATTTTTACTTAGCAATACTACTCTGTAAAAATACTTAGAAGTGGAAGTCCTACATCCAAGAACAGCTAAATGTACTTAAGGTATTGAAGTAAAAGTACTTGTTGGGGAGAATGGTCCCTCTTTCAGTTTTATATATATATATATATTTTTTTTTAAATCATATTGAAATATTACTGTTGCTTTGACACAGCATTTAATGTTACAGCTGGTGGAGGTGGAACTAATTTGAACTACTTTTATATACTGTTGGAAAGTTTTATCTAGCACTTTGTTTTGTCGTAAAATCTTGATATTCAAATTAACTATCAACTCTGTCAGATAAATGTAGTGAAGTAAAGTTTAAAGTAGCATAACATTTAAATATTAAAGTAAAGTAAATGTACCTGAAAAATGTACTGTAGTAACTTTCCACCACTGGAGAACACTGCCTAAATATGTGGCCATGTAATGCACTGGAGCCCTTTTTAATTTAATGTTATACTATGCTCACATTCATCACAGGAATCTATGTAATATTGTGTTTCATCCAGTTATCACGATACCTGACAGAAAATACTGAGTAGTATTCTTGTATAAGAATACTGGGTGGGACTCTGGTCTCTGTGCCCTGTGTGTAGTCTGAAGGCTACTGAATGGGAACGTGGAAGGGACAGGGTAAAAATGCAATGCACAGAAGAAGGGAGTTTAATAGTTCAAATGGGCATCGGCATGCATGTTTGCCTTTATCATACAACCACTAAGAGACATTTTCAAATTCTAAACAGGGGTTTTCAGGAAAAAAAAAAAAAAAAAACTCTTCAAATCCCCAAATTAATTTCAGTGCCCCAAAAACATTTTTATTTAAATAATCCCAAACTGTTTCATAGAACTTCCCAAATCCTGAACATGTTCCCATAGGTCCACCCAGCTGACAACCAGGAGGCGAGGGAGTGCCTAATATTGCACCCCAACATCTTCTGTTCCTGCAGTTGCCATTAGGTATCATAATTAAATCAAAAACCTGAATCGTTTGTATTTTAAATTCCTTTGATGGCCCACGGTGGCTGCTTGATTTGCTCCCACTGGAAAGAGATTGTTTTTTGTTAAATTTGAAACTTAAGATCAATGAAATTCACAATAATGAGACTTGCTTTTGAGATTTACTGAAAAAAAGAAATAGATATTTCAGCAGTAACTTTAAAATCATAAAACCCACTCAACACACACACGCACACACACACCATGAGCAAGTATAGGAACAAATTTATTTCAATTTAAAACAGATACCTTGTCATTATGTTTCTCTCTTAGAAGGCGGCAATGATCATAAGTCATGTTCATGTTTGAATGAGGATCAGGCAACAGTGGTTGAAACAAATACATGAAACACATAAAAAAATATGGCAAGAGTTATGTAAATCAATAATAACCAACTGATTGAACCCCCTTCATCGAGGGCTTTGCTTCAATGAAAACATCAAAGCCCTCACTTCCAACACAAAATAAACAGCACATGCAATTATAATTACAGTTTCTTAAAAAACAGCAGATTATCTTTTAAATCTTCAATCTTAAATACAGAATAAAGTCTTTGTGTGTACTTAATCATCTATCCTTTTAGTCTCTGGTGTGTTATATTTAAAAAGGGGGGGGGGGGGCGTCTCAGGTGGTGGTCCTTTGGTGATGACCACAGCATTGGCACTTAGAGAGAGCCTTGCTCTAGAGAGAGTGGGGTTGGCACACTCAGTATAATACATCATTTACATTTGGTTTACATACAAAATAAAAGAGAAAAAAAACAGCGTTTTATACACCACTACACAATTGACCTTCAGGTTTCATTGGAGTGAGGAAAAATAAATCAAGTGGTCCAAAATAATAGAGTTCTGGTAATGTTTTCTTATGATACAGGAAGTGAAAAACACAAAAAAAGGGAAATAGATTTAAGTTTTTGAAATATGCACAGACTTCCACACTGATGTCCAAAAAAAAGATACGTTTGATTCCGCTTATTCTAACAAGCCCACAGGAAGGGAAATCACACAACCACGGTTACCCGAAAAAGGTCACAGAGCACGCTCTGAAACAGCAAAAGGACCGAAACACCATCTTTCATTATTCAAGGCAATGAAAGGCAACAAAAAAAATAAGTGTGTTGTAGTGAAAAACCAATCTAGTGTTTCACTGGTCGTCGCTCAAAACTGACAAGAATCAAAGAATGAGACGGAGATTTAGGTTTTGTACAGACTTGGCTTCTCTCTCTCAGCTTGTACATGTTGAGATAAAATGTGTCAGAAACACACTGCGGGCCGCCAACGCGCTACCAAAACCACACCAAGCAGCCAGTCACCACGCGCCACTGTTGTAGTGTCCAAGTTTGAAAATAAAACGTTACTCGTTACCGTTAAAGTGAGCTGCACTCAACAACACAGTACATCTTAAACATACTGATAAAATACTTGGGTATCCATACTAGTATATTGTTCCACTTAAATACTGGCATCCTCTTTCTGACAGCAGTCCAACAGATGGCTGTCTGCTTTCTTCCCACGCAAGGTTAGTGTCATTTTCAGCAGACAAAATGGCAGTTAAGGACCACACGCGTTTAGAAATATACATTTTAGCCCCATTAACCTAGTGTTCACTGCATAACTCTTTAGTTTTTAGACCGATTCTCTTGTCTTTTTGGCAGTCTGTCGTTTCTGTTCACTGAAGAAAATCAACCGACGTGAAAATGGTTTGAAACGTTTCGTCATCTTGGTTTCTCGTTGTAATGCAGTTGAGAAAACAGACTGGTGAAAGCTCATCTTAGTTTAAAGGGTGCACTAATCAGATATGCGAGATTGTTTAACAGCCGACTCGTTTTGACCTAAAAATAAAATCCTTCCAGTAAGTTCCATACAGTGTGGTGTACAGATTTTAAACCTGGGGAAAAAAGAGCACAGTTCTCCATCAGGAGATTGATTGGATTGGAGCATCCCTCTTTGAATGCAATATCAAGGGACTGTTGAAGCAGCCCCTTCTCACTTAACACCAACAATCGCACAATAATGTCTTTACTCAATGTCAACTGTGGATCGGATTCTCTCAGAATCAAGTTTAAACTCTGCAAGTTACTTCTCATACCTGCTAGAGTGAACAGAAGCCGATAGCTGCTCGCAAAGAAGGAAATCAATTTAAAAATAGGAGAAATGGTCATCAATAAAGTAAAAGATCTGTAGTTAATGGATTAAAACATGCAAAGCCACAAGCATGGTCATTAAGTCAAATACTTGGGGGGGGGGGGGGGGG